CGAAACCCGGATTCTAGCGTTGTACGTCCGAAGACAAACCGCTGTGCTACTGGGGGCATTTTGTTTAACTTATATGTTATATGCTTTATATTATGTCAAACAATTTGCATTGCTAACTTAAAATATGATTTTAGGACTAAATAAATATCTTAAGCTTGATGAATCTTGTAAAGTATTATTGGGCTTACGGCCAAAAATATCAATAAAAAGTGAGAATAACCAACTGACAAATCAATTTATTTAATTATTTTTGTTTAGAAAGTTGCATACACCTAGTTAGACCAGTGTATTAAATTAGCTACTTTATTTACCATGTTAATCTTTCATTCTAATCAATGTTGGTTGCGTGCTTTTATTAAAATATATTGATAGCCTTGGTAATTACTTAATTTTAGAGTAGTATCCCCAATTAAGCAAACCTGAAATATGAAACATTTTTCTCAATTTCTTTTTCTTTAAAACCTCAAGGTGCACGTTTTTTGCTAGGCAACTGTCATAACTTCAACTAAAACTATATATCCTAGTATCCTTTAGTGGCTTATTCGTGTTTGTTCTATTTTTATTTATCAGATTCAGGACATAACGAAATTATTTTTAAAACCATATCACATATAAACGTTAATCATTAGTCTTGATGTGAGACATTTGCAGCATTTTGAGACAATTTATGCTATTTTCAAATGCTTCAAGAAACGAGAAATATAATTTCATAAAATTCCATGTATGATATACATAGATGCAATATGAAGAAAAGATGGGCATATCTAATGAATTGCATACGAGGAGTTTCACTACGATGCTTGACCAAGAAAGAAAATGTATATGTCAAGTATAAACTAAGATGCATTCCAGGTGGTATTAAGATTCAATCATTATCTATAGACAGACGCCACAGCAGCAGAGAGAAAGCTATGGGAAAGTTTACATGAACTTCGTTAGAGATGGAGACAACTTCCATAAAAGGAATTAGCAAGGAAATCAGAGACTCTGGGCGGAACTTTGATCTGAAGAGGATGAGGAGAGATACATGTAAACAGGCTGCCAATTTACCGTCTTCTATCATAACCAATTATCGAATTAGTTTTGGTTTTAGTTCCGAAAATTACGATGAGTCAACAAAATTCATCCAATTAAGTGACAGATCTACTGGCGAGTCAGATGTGTACACTATTTGGAAAATCGTAATAATACTAAAGAAATTCATATAAAAACCCATGTTTTGGGGCTAAAAGTCAGTCACCTGAATCGTAATAAGAAGCCATTGGTCCTGTTGCCAGTTTATCAACTGAAATCTTTACAGTATGAAGAAGCCAAACAACCTGCTGCTGGTCGAATAAAAACTGATGCTGCCTGACCCAACTATGACTAATCCCATAACAACGTTAAATATATCTAACATTTTCTGCCCAAGCTCTATATAAGTAACTATTGCTATCTTCTCTCAGAGTCGAAGAATGTAGTTAGAAATTGAATATACAGTGTTTAATATTAAAGAATTAACGAAAGTTATGTCAATTGATGTGTTAAACGATGACTTACTGATAATATTAAGTAATTTAATGGATGTTATAGATAGTTTAATTGAATTACAGGTACCTGATAAGATTGAAGAATTGAATAGTTTTAACAACGAAACGTTTCAAGATGCCTTCGGTAATCTCGATCTTAATATATTGCATTAACTTGTTGTTTGTGTTTTGAATCTTAGTCTCCGAGTTAAATCTTTATTCTAACTGCAGGCTTTCTCGAGTTAGTGGCTTGTATGCTCCACTCATGACTGTAAATCTGGATTTCAAATAAATCTATCGTAAATTGGATTTAAGTGGAACTCCAGACGACTAGCTCACACGGCGGTCCGCGTTTTTACAGATGCAAAGGATGTTTTCACTGTCTAATGTATCTGATTTTGATGAAATATTTGTTTTCTGATTTTCACACAGACCAGCAGAAGATTATCTGCACACAAGCTTTCCTAACTTTGAACTGATAGACTAAAAGCAAAAAATCCAACTCTTAGACTACTCTTGGCTAACTAAGTAGAGGGAGTTGATCGCCACTTTTATGGGGCACCTAAACCCCCCTCAAAGTACGGAGTGTATTTTTGCGACAACAGGACTAAAATTACGGATCCCCAGACTCACAGTGTGAGTACACTAACCACTTGTAGAACAATATACAATTTTGATATTCTGAGCTTGAAAATAACTATTTTTTTACCATGAAATAAAGCCAAGCTTAGTGGATAGGGTTACACAACGGATTATTATAAGTAATACTGGTAGTTAAATACAGGAAACAATATAATACGCAATTACTGAACCACATATTTTTGTATTTTCGTAGTTTTTATACAATCTGACATATTTTGCTACTACCATAAAGAAGAAACACTATTGTCAGTTCACAAACTTTTCAATGTATTTTATTTTTAATGTTTAATTAACAGTGCTTAATTTCAGCGGCTCAGCGGTAAGCTAGCACTCTGGATTCAATCCTTACAGTAGGCACAGAGCAGTTAGCCCATTGTCCAGCGTTGCGCTTAAAATAAAGAAACATCTACACTGCAAATAATGTCTCTTTTAGAAACACTCTTCAGTTCTTTCATGACATAAATTAATTACCGCTTCAATCTTCTCTTTCAAGATCTTCATCGTGTGGTCCAGGTTTGACACGCTTAGTTTATTGACACTCAGAAATTTCTTG